TCAGGGATGGAAAAGTTATAAATTTCTGAGGTGTGAGAGTGCTGAAGATGATCTCAACAAATTTGCATAGCCTCCTAACACTGTCTGAATGCAGAAAGACATTAACATTAACTAACCTTAAACTGCAGTCATGGGTTTTTTCTTTCTTACCTGCTGATTAGGTCATGGATTTTGTTTATGCCCTAGTTGTAAACATATAATATGGGCATATGAGCAGGAGATATGTCTCAGAATTTACTTCTATGCTTGCCTTATAATTTCTTCCCATTACTTCTTCTTAAACACAGTAACTATTTATAGCTCTTGGATTGCCTCCCTTGCTTACAAACTCCTTGCTTTACTATCTACTGATGCAATTTCCCCTAAATCCTGTATCACCCATCTCAGGTGCACAACACATTATTGTGAACTCTGTGTTTGGAAGTTACCAGCATAGTTACATCCTATAGTTAATATTGACATCTGACATCTAACTCTCCAGATAGGACAATATCTGCATTTAAAAACACACAAACAGCTGGGTGTGGTGGTGCATGCCTGTAATTCTAGTAGCTCAGGAGGCTTACTTGATGCCTAGTTATGAACCTTTCTGTTTTCACAGTGGTCTTAGAGTTCAGTTCTCTCTCTCTGCTTGAATGTAGTCTTCATCATTTTAGCATGGAAATCCACAACAAAATAACATGATTCCAGAAAATAGTCAACAGGGATAGACCTTAATGTGTTGAAAAGTTTTAAGATTAGGGTGAAACATGAAAGTCATATGGTAAACTTTACAGTGAATATTAAGAAATTATTCCCAGTTTTTATTTTCTAGTCTCATATATTTCTTCCCATCTCAGAATGCTATGGGCCAGCCTACATGGGCAATGATGAAACAGACTCCATTTTGCCCTGAGACTTCATGTCATGTAAGAAATCCTTCTCCCATGGAAAGCCCCACATCTGTGTCCATTAACAGTTGCTTAGCAGAGCATGTCTGGCAACACAAAATGGCAATTCTTAGACAATGTAAAAGTGTTCTGTCTTTAGTTCCTGTTTTTCTTGGACAATGTACCCTCTCAGAGATTGATTGCCTCGATTTTAGTAACGATTCTTTAACTTGTACTCCACGAGGGACTTTTTGGCCCACTCACATTTCTGCTTATGATTTTAGATCTCATGATATTTGTTTATGGTTTTGAATCATAGCAACAGCCACTTATACTTTAATATGGTTTTGGACTATAAAAGGTAGACTCAAATCCTGGGATGGGGTTGAAGGTTATAGACTTGCAGCTTACCCATTGGCCCAGCAGCTGGTGGATCTGGACCACCAGCTGGTGATTTATTGCAATCTCGCCTTAACAAGAACATGTTGTAAACTTTACTTTTAATTAGGACACAGTTGCAGCTTTATTTAATTTTACCCTCTGTGTGTTTGCTATGTTGGATTCTGTGTAGCAGTTTTCTTATAAACTTGATTTGCAGGAAGGTGGCTCTCAGAGAACTTCTGGTGTCAACTGTACTGGTTATGATGGGGCCGTCAGATGGGTTTACTCTACAGGTACTTCAGTAAGAACTTACTATTTTCAGTTGGGTTAGAAATGATATGTAGCCCCTACCCATGAGCCATGAGATGAATAGTGATCAACAAGTTCAAACTATTTTTTTTTCTTTTATCAATACTATACTGGCAAGTTGAGGGAAGTCACTACTATGAAGATTGGTAGGTGTAACTATATGGTTTAGCTATATCTAAACCAGATCTCTCTCTTTAGGAGGACTCAGGACAAGTTCATGTGCATGTGCAAAGTAATATGGCACCAGAGTTTATTTATAGATGCTTTTCCATTTTCTTAGAGTTTTTTTTTTTATAAAATCAGTGGTCAAAAACTGAGGCACCTGGCATTTAAAATAACTTCTAACTCTCCAGATAGGACAATATCTGCATTTTAAAAACACACAAACAGATGGGTGTGGTGGTGCATGCCTGTAATCCCAGTAGTTCAGGAGGCTGAAGCATCAGAATGTGTGTTCACAGCCAGCCTCAGAGAGACCCTGTCTCTAGATAAAATATAAAAAAGAATTCAGTTTGTGGCTCAATGTTTTAGTGACTCTGGGTTCGATCCCTGGTAAACAAAGCAGAAAGACCTTTACAGTCATCTTAGAAAAAGATTTATCTTGTGTAGTTTGGATTTTCAGTCATTTACATGCTCAATTGTAAAATGTTTAATTTAATTGTTAATCTTTCATCATATTCAGATATGTCAGACTCTTCTCATATCTCCTCTTAATTTATATTCTTTTCTAAAATGAATTTGATATTATAATATTTGATGTGACTAAAATGTGCTAGTTGACAACAGAATTTGGTATTAGAAATTACTTCTATAAGACTTATAATCAATCTTACAATTCTCTATGGGAAAGGCAAGAAGCTCATAAATTATTTTTTCCTCATCAATAGTTTTTAAAAATTTGTTCTTTTTAGTTATAAATGACACTAGAGTATATTTTGACATTTCATACATAAGATGGAGCATAATTTACCATTTTTGTAGTTGTACATGATATGGAGTTACACTGGTCATTCATATAGGAACATAGGAAATTTATGTCTGATTCATTGCACTGTCTTTCCCATTCCCATCCCTCCTTCCTTCCTGCCATTTTTTCCAGTGAAACTACACTTCTCCCCACATTTCCAGCCTATTGTAAGTCAGCGTCCACATATCAGAGAGAACATTTGGCCTTTGGTGTTTTGGGATTTGATTAAGTCATCATTTATATATCAGAAAGAATATTTGGCTTTTGGTTTTTGGGATTCAATTTATTTCACTTAGCATGATTGCCTCTACTTCCATCCATTAACCAGCAAATGCCATAATTCCATTCTTCTTTATGGCTAAGTAATATTCCATTGTGTATACATACCACATTTTCTTTATCCATTTATATATTGAAGGGTCCCTAGATTGGTTCCACAGTTTAACTCTTGTGAATTGAACTGCTATAAATATTGATGTGACTGAGTTACTATAGTATGCTGATTTTAAGTCCACGTGGTATATGCTGAAGAGTGAGATAACTATTTTAAATGATGGTTCCATTTCAAGTTTTCTGAGGAATCTCCATACCCCTTCTCAGAATGGTTGTACCAATCTGTAGTCCCACCAGCAACGTATGTACCTTTCCCTCCACACCCTCGCCAACATTTACTGTTACTTGGATTCTTGATAACTGCCATTCTGACTGAAGTGAGATGAAATCTCAGTGTAGCTTTAATTTGCATTTCTCTAATTACTAGTGATACCGAACATTTTTTCTCTTCTGTGGTGTGTGTTCAATTCCTTTGCCATTTATTGATTGGGTTATTTGTTGTTTTTTAGCTTTATAGAGTTGTTTATGTACCTTGGAGATTAATGCTCTCTCTGAGGTGCATGTAGCAAAGATTTTCTCCCATCCTGAAGGCTCTCTCTTCATGTTCTTGATTGTTTCCTTTGCTGAGAAGAAACTTTTAGTGTGATATGATACTACTTACTGATTCTTGGTTTTAATTCTTGTACTTTAGGAGTCTTATTGAAGAATTCAGTACCTAAGCTGACATGACTGAGATTTGGGCCTATGTTTGCTTCTAGTAAGTGAAGGGTCTCTTGTCTAATGCCAAGGTCCTTGATCCACTTAGACTTGAGTTTGGTGCAGGGTGAGAGATAGAAGTCTAATTTCATTTTATTTCCCAGCACCATTTGTTGAAGAGGCTATCTTTTTTTCAATTCATGTTTATGGTGCCTTTGTCTAGTATGAAATAACTGTATTTGTCTTCCATTC